AGCTGTGGTGTAGCCATACTTAGCTCTTCTTTAAAACACCCTGCCTGTCCTTGGATGCAGGATACAAGAAGAGACAGATGACTGGATCCTTCAGGACTGCAGGGCAGCTCCGCAATCCTTCAGAGTTGGGAAGAAGCAAAGGTGAGAGTCGGGAGGAACTTGCCAGAGGAAGGCTGCTAGAGGAGGCATGTGTGCTGTAGAGGTGAGGGAAGAGGCTAGACCAAAAGGCAGAGGGGTTGGAGAGGTGGAAATGGCTGCCCTGGGGTACAGAGTACCCTGCATCTCACCCCCGTGCCTTTCCAACAAGGCCTAGAACTCTCCATTCAAGTACTTGAGTTTAGCATCGCCCACTCTGGGTATCCCTTCTCCAAGACACAAAGCCTAGGGAAAATTAAGTCCCTACCACCTACGTTCGAATGAGGTGACCGGATCCTGTGACTCCTCAACAGAAAGTGTAGCACACGGCAGGGGTGGGAGGGAGGGTTTCCTGGAAGGAAAAGACTGCAGACGGGAAGATGGAAGCCTTTGACCAACTCTGCTGTCATGTCAAAGGAAGAGAGAAGACAGTTCTCATGGGCATAACCCATGCTAGGGCTTGGAGGAGGGAGGGACTGCGAATGTGGGTCAGATGGAGCTCCTCGCAGGACGGAGTGGAGGCAGCACCAGCCTCTGAGGCTGGAGCAGACGGTGGGGGAGGGCACCATGCAACTGGCCCACTTTGATGCTCGAGTTAATCTAACTGGACTCCAACATTGCTAATCCCACCTACCCCTCTCACTACTAATTCAGCTCCAGAATCAAAATTTGCTGACCCTAAACCAGTCCCCAGGCCTCACCTTGTCCCCTCATTGGATAGGCCCCCTTTGCAGCCCAGAAGGAGCTAGCTTGGAGGTAATCACTACATCATGCTTCAAAGCCACCGAGCCAGCTCTGAATGGGGGGCAGCAGGTTTCACTTACCTTGCCTGGCCGCCTGCCCAGGGCAGATGGGATGCAGCTGGGGGAGGCCCGGCAGCTCCTCCCTCCCTCTCTCCCTCACTGTCTCCCCCAGAAATTGTTGTCCACCCCTTCTCTGGTTGGACATTGGAATTGGGGTTTAGGGGAAATGATTCTCCCAGAGCAGGAAAAGTGAGAGCTGGCAAAGCTCACTCACCTGGCTTGCCACCACCCATCTGGTGGGGTGCGGCATGCGGGTGGTAGCTGGAGGGCCGAGTTCAGCCCCTGGGGGATGGAGGTTCTACCCTCAACGCATCAGGTGGCTGCTGGTCTAGCTGGGGCGAAGGCTGGAGAGGCTCGGGTGGATGGGAGCAGCGACCTGGGAGTGTGACTGTGGAGGACCTTTGGGTGGAACAGTGGCCACTTACGGTACCACTGCTTCCTTCTGGGGGCCCTTGGGCAAGTGGTTTAAACTCTTCAAGCCTCGGTTACTTCATCCATAAAACGGTGATCCCAATACTGTCCTTCCTTCCTGGGACTGCAGTGGGGATAAAGGGGGGTAATTGTGTGGCTCTCCTGGCCCCTGGGAGGTCTCAGGAAGGTGAGTTCTCATTGTCTGCTCTCCCATTTCTGCCCGGAAGTGGGTGGAGCTGCAGGCTGGCTCCCCGGTGTCCCTGGGGACTTGGGGCACAGGGAGCTGTGAGCCATGCTTTGCTGAGGGGCCAAGGTGAGGGGCCGGAATGGAGCGGGAGGACAGGGAGTGTGTGTCAGGGAGCTTGCCTTCCTGGAGGGGCGGGGTGATGGCGGGTGATGAGATAATAGAGAGGGGTTGCCGCTCCCGTTTTGACTCCTGGTGGTGCAATTTGATGCACCACCACTGCTAGCTCCATGCGGAATTGCATTGTTCTCTACCCTTTTGCCTTATATTCACTATAGGACCAGGCAGCCTGGGGGGGGGGGTACGGCATGGGGGGGGCCTCTCTATGTGCAGCTGTATCATGGGAGATGATTCTGGCGGGCCCTCCGTGAAAATTCTTCCCCCCTGTTGCTCCCTGTGGGATCCTACTTGCTGGTCAGCTCCTAAGAGCCCCCTCATGCCGCGTTGCACAGCTGTAGCTGCAAGTGCTGAGAAGCAGGGGAAAGGCGCTGGGGAGAGAGCGTGGCTTGTCGGGGCAGGGAGAAATTTTTGAAGACCACTCATGTTTGGGGCCAGGAGTCACAACCACTGGGAAGTTATGCTCAGGCAGGCAGTGGCTCCAGGAAGCCTTCAATATTGTTCCCAGCTTTCATTAGGGATAGGAATCCCTGCTGCTTGTGGTGCTACAGGCGCAGGAAGGTAGATATTAGTGGCCATGGCCATGGCAGTCACGGTGGGGTGATTATAGTGATGGTAGTGATGGCGTTGACTGCGGCCATGGCAGTCAGTGATAGCTGTGCTGGTTCTAGTAGTGATGCTGATGGTGGTGGCATGGTGACAGTGGGCATAGTGGTGCCTGTGTTGTTACAGTGGTGGTGATTGTGGTCATGGTCATGGTGGAGGTCATGGCGATGCTGGGTTTTGTGTAGGTGGTTGTGGTCGTGGTGATGGTGGAAGTCCCAGCAAAGGAATATTCTGATCACAGCTATGCTCTCTATGGTACCGTCAAGCCAAAGTATCACATTATAAAGTAACCTTTCATATCAAATAACTAACACTCCATGAGGGCAGCTGCTGTTGCTCACTGCAGAATACCCAAGGCCTGGAACAGAAGCATGTAGTAGATGCTCAATAAATACATATTGAATGAATAAAAGGGGATTGAGTCCCTCCTTGCAATGAACACTGTCACCTCATTTGATCCCGATCAGGTTTCTTCAAAATTCCCATTTTATAGATGAGAAAACTGAGGCCAAAGAGACGATGTAACCTTCCTAAGATCACACAGGGGTAAACAGTGGGGAAGAGGGAGGTGGGCATTTATACCCATGTCTGTCTGACTCCCAGTGCAGTGCTCTTTCCTCTACCCACTCCGCAGCTACTTTACCTGCCAGCACTCAGCGTTACATCATGGGTTTGTGCTCAGGCTTAATCATAGAAATAGTGCTAATAATAGTGACAATTGCTGTTTGTAATTGTTCGAGTAAGGCTTAAATGATCAAGACCATGGAAATTATTAATAACCCAGGCCCAGCCATGATAGTGTGGGTCGTATTAAATTGTGTCGAGATGGATAACCTTGGCAATAATAGTAACTGGGATCATAAATTAATAACAGGAGTATTTAAATTAATGCCACACTGTCGATACCCTTGGTAGTAAGCAGCTCAACTCTGCTGTTAGTACTAATGTTGCCCCTTCCTGCCTTTTATGAATTCAGCTGAAAGGAAGGCAGAAAAGCAATGGGAGGAGATGTTTTAGAAGCAGCCCCTCTCTGGGAGGAGTGAATCTTCAGGGACTTCTAAAGAGGTGCTTGCTGCCTGGCCTCTTATGGCCAGCCATGAAGGTGATGGCTCATTAACCGACATTCACGCTCAAAGCCACAACGATGTCTATCTGTCCTTTCCAGGGCTGCCCTGGACTTTGTTGATTACACAGGAAAGAAATTCACAGGACAGATTTTTTCCTTCCACAAATGAATGAATCAGCTTTGACTGATCACAGAATCTCCTACTGCCTGCTAGTATGCCCTCTTCAAAAGCACTCTTGATCTCCCCCTTGTTCCTGTAATTGGGGAGGGTATCACCATTTTTTTCAAGGAAGTAACTGAGGTCCAGACATGGCCAAGATCTGGGTGCTGGGATAGGTTTTGTAGATTTCCTCCCCAGCCCCCAGCTCTGTGCTCCAAAGCTTGATGTCTGGGAATGAGGAAAGTGGGGGAACAGATAGGGGGTGAGCATCAAGGTGGGGGTGTATTAGTGGCGCACTTTCTGGGTTAGGGGCTAGAATTTGGACCAGCCAAGGTTTCTAGGGCAAAGTGAATGTGGTCCTAGGAATGCCAACATAGTACATAGACGGGTACAAGGATGGGTACAAGAATGTGAATCCATTCAACCCCTTTTCTATCCCCTTCTACAGAACTTTACTGAACACCTGCTGTGTACCGGGCATTGAGATAAGAAACCATAGTTCCTGCCTACAGAGTTCATAGCTCATAGAAACACTCACAATCTAATGAAGTCTACATTGCTGAGGATGCATCTGTGAGTTTGTGTTTGTGTGTGTGTGCTCACGAATGTGTGTGCACTTGAGTGACTACATGTACATGTGCATGTGTGAATGTGTAGGTACATGTTTGCATGTCTCAATCACATGTGTGCATGCGTGCATGCCTGTGGAGGTGCATGTGTAGGACACGCAGGTCTATGTGAGTGCACGAGGATGGTGTGGGCTTATGTGAGTACATGGGCACATATACAGGTGAGCTTGAGAGTGTGTATTCCTGTGTTTTGCGTGCACTCCTGTGACCTCTTTAAACCCATATTTGATTATGCAAATGACGTTGGGATGGACTCCACCTTGATTGTCCACATCGTCGGAGTCAGCCACCTGCACCCCTCCCCTCCCCCTAGGCCTTTTACCAGAGATCTCCCGCACTGACCAGCGGAGGGAAGGTGGGTAAGGGATGGACCCAGAATGAAGGGCAGGACGGGCAGCGGGCCTTCTTGCTGATAACGGCTGGGTTATCTCCCTGAGCCTTGCTGGGGAGAAGCTGAAGCCAGAGGCGGAGGAAGATGGATAAGAGAATGAACCCTGCGGCCGGCCGCAGCCAGAGAGGAGCAAGAGCTGCTGCGGGGACGCCCTGGCCCGTAGGCCCACCGCATCCGGGACGGACGCGCAGCAGCGCGGGCCGGGCCCTGGGTACCCGGGCGGGGTGGGTGAGAGGCTCTAAGGGCCAGGGCGCGGAGAAGGGGCAGCGGGGGGCGCGGGCGCAGGCGCGGCTCCCCCACGCCCGCCCTTCCCCTCCGCTCCCCACCCCGAGGCGGCGGGGCGGGCGGGCGCGGTTCCGGGGGTGGGCGGGCGGGGCGGGGAGGAGGCGGGGCCGCCGCACTGGCTTCACCCGGCCCCTCCCGCCCGCAGCCAGAGCGAGCCGAGCCTCGGCCAGCTCCGGCGGGCGAGCGGGCGCTGGAGTGCGGCGGGGCGCTGCCCTATCGGTCCGCAGAGCGGACTGAGCTGGAAGCCGAGTGCTGCCGCGGGAGGCGGGCGATGGGGGCAGGTGCCGCCGGCCGCGCCATGGACGGTTCGAGCCTGCTGCTGTGGCTGCTGCTGTTCCTGGGGGTGAGTGCTAGCCAGAGGGGAGCCCGCTCCCTTTCCCGGGATCAGAACCCCGAGGGGAGCCGGGCGCCGCCACCCAGGAAACGGAGGAGAGGAGTGGGGTCCAAGATGCTGGGGGTGGGTGGCAGAAGAGGAGCTCTGATGCCGGCATCCACGGAGGAGCGTCTAGGGTTCTCGGAGCGCAGAGGCGACCTGAGCCCCAGGGTAGAGATGCGGGCAAGACCGGCGCACCGATGCCGGTCCTCAGGTACCGCGGGGCGGGGCGGGGGAGCTGGGAGGGGTCTCTCGGGCGGAGACGTGGGGCTCCCGGATGCCTGGGTTCTTCAGAAGAGGACACTTGAATGCCGGGATCCAGAGGGGACGTTCCCGCTCAGCGTCTTAGTCTCTGGAGAGTCGTGGGACGGAACCAGGGCGAGACAGGGAGGCGGAATGGGACGAGGACTAGAGATGTGAGGGGTGAGCGCGGCTGGGGCGGGGAGCCGGAGACGAGGGCATGGAACAATGGAGGCGGAGGTCGGAGGGATTGGAGGCAGTGGGGACCCTGCGTGGACAATGGGGACCGGCCAGACAATGGGGGGGAGGGGCGTCAGAAGCAGAGGATGGGGAGCCGGAGAGGGGTTGAAGAGGAGCAGAAGGGGGTTAGGGAGGGCAGAAAAGGGACGGCAGCCAGGGAGGTAGAGAGATGGACGCTAAAAGAAAGCGGACGGAGAGAGAGTGCGGACGCTAAAGTGGTCGGGGCCCCGCTTGCCCGCTGAGGGACAGTGGGACGCGAAGAGGGAGCGGAGGCATGGACGTTTCCCGCGCCTGTCCCCGCGCTCTTTCTCGCGGCCTCGCCCAGTCCGGGAATTGAGGCTGTGGATCGGGGCTGGGAAGGGAGCGCCCACCTCGCCGGGGCGAACCCGCTCCTCGGGTTCCGCTACGGCCGGCAGGCTCCCCCGACGCGCGTGTTCTCACGGTTTGAAGCTGCGCGGCGGATCCGGAGGGATGGAGCAGGGGTCCCCCGAACCCGCCTGGCCGCGGCCACTGGGTGCAGAGCGCCAGGACGCACAAGGCGGGGACCGTCCCGGCAGCTCTCAGCTCCTGGCCGCGCAGGCGGGAGGCGGCCCGCAGGGGGCGCTGGGGGGCGTGGGACGTGCCACCCGCAGCTGCCTGCGCGCCTGGGGCTGAGCTTCGCCCGCATTAAGTTACGCGACCCAAGCGCCGCGCCCACCGCGCTCTCCGGGCTCCAGTGCCTAGCAGGGTAGGGATCCCGCCTGCGCCCCGCTGGGCATCTAACGAGACCGGGGCGCTCGGACGCCTCGCGTTGTGTCGCGCGGTGTCCTGAGGCACCCACTCGGCAAAGATGGGCGGGTCCTCCCCGAAAGCACCTGAGTCCTCCGGGTGGTTCTAACAAGATTTTTAGGAGATGTGACCTGGTGCGTGTGGCCATGAACTGAATGCCCTGGAAGATTTGGCAACGGAGGAGGCGTCCTCCCTCTCCTGCCATCTTCGTCTGTCATCTGAGCATTGCCCCCCAGATCTTCGTTTTACGGATATGGGGACTGAGGCTCTGAGAGTTTAAACGACTCTGCCAAGATCCCACAGCAAGTCGGGCCAGAGTCATGGCTAGACTCTCCTCACTTGACTGCCAGCTCGCTACTCCCCTCATCTCTTAAGGGGGCAGCTGGGCGTGCCAGCTCCGAATAAGAGCTGTGTCTCACGACAGCGCGGGGTTGACCACATCTCCTGAGGCAGGAGGCGGTGGAACCTGTGAGTGGGGTGGGCAGAGACCCTATGTGGGCGCTGGTCCCATCCCTGAGGCTCAGCCCCGGTTCCCTGGAGCTGTCGGTACCTGTGGCTCGTCCGGAGCTTTGGGAGTGACTGCGGGCACGTTTGCTGACTAAGGCCTCTGGTTAGAGATGCGTCTCACACTGGGGTGGGGAGCGTGGACGAGGGTGGCGGGGAGGAAGGACTGGGGTTACCTGTAGTCCGGATCCTGGAGGGGCGAGGACGTGGGCTCGGGATCTGGACAGGAGCGTTTGTCCCCGAGTAGAGAAGCAAGGAAGGAGCGGGGCTGGGCGTGGAGGGGCTGGGGGCTCGGGAAGGTGGCCCCTGAGCACAATCTGCCGTCTGCGGCCCCTGCGGCTCTCGCCTCCGCCTCCACGCGGGGCTGCGCGGCACCGGCCGGCTCTGCGCACAGCGGCGGTCCGAGTCCCTTCCTGGGCCGCGGCGAGAGTGCTGAAACCAGAGCGCGTCCCGGCGGGTCGGCTGGCGGGCCGCGCCGGTAATGGAGGTACTTTGTCATTCAGACGTCTGTAACCGGAGCCGCCGGGCTGGCTAATGCGCCTAAGAGGGATGCAGCGAGGACAGCAAATGGGCCGGCGTGAACGGCGGGGCTGGGGTGGATGGTGGGTGGGTGGGGTAGCGGTTCCGGGAGGGAAAGGCCCCCACCCCACTGTACCAGCCCAGTCTGGCGCAAGCGACTCGCTTCTTCCCTGGGGGGCGCGGTGGGGAGGCGGGAATGATAAAATGTGCTGAGTACCTCCTATGTACTTCAAACTGCCTTGGATACTTTCTCTTGAGTTATTTAATCCTTATAAAGGTCCTAGCAAGATAATTTAGGGAAACTAAATGGGAATCCACTTTACAATTGAGGAAGCTGAACCTCCCAGACCTGCAGGCACGAGATGGTTCGGTTCCCCTAGTTAGCAAGCGGCGGCACCCTTGTTGGAGCCCAGGACGTTTGATTTGGAGCTTACCCTTTCCTCCCTGTGCCAGGCTCTAGGTCCCAGAACTCCCACTAGCCTGGGAGAGTAGATCCATGCCCTATACCTTTGTCACCACCAATTTAGAACTGAGCCCTTTTCCCCACGCAGAGCCCCTGCCCCCTCTCAAGTCTCTGTATAGCATGATAATTAGCTCTTGCCTCCTACCCCCAACTCAACCTCTACCCAAAGGTGGTGGGGGGGAGTGTGCCAGTGCCTTCCCTGGGTTTGCGTCAAACTCAAAAGACCCTCCAGATTTTTGGAAACACCACGGCTGCGAGGGTGGCTCCCTTCACCTAAAGAACGCTTTGCCGAAGCTGTTTTGAGTGGTCAGAACGGATCACACTGAAACAGTCATATAGCTTCAAATACCTTCAACTATTTTGGTGCATTTTCTCTTTTCTCCAATTAAAAGAAAATGAGATTCTGAAAAGTTAATTCGTCTAAGGATATTTCCACCTTGGCTCCTTGAAAGACTTGAAATAGCATAAATAAAGCTTGCAAACATTCCGAAAAATGGGATGAAATCATTCTATCAAATTTAAATGAATAAATGTAATACATACAAATTTCAGGCAAATGTGTCTGTCGTTTTGCTAAATTGATCATTTTGGATCTGATTGTGGAACAATTAGCCTGAACTCTAGTCACCCCTCCCTGCTTGGCTAAACTCTCCCGTCCCATTACCTCCTGCCTGGGGCCAGCAGCTCATTCTCCCTAAGACAAGATACTTCTTGGATAACTAACATTTATTGAATTCCTACTATATGCCAGGCATAATTTGCATAAATTACTTCATTTGATGCTCCCAGCAATCCTGTGCGGTAGAAATGTTTTAGGTGGGAAAACTGAGGTTTAGGGAGATTAAGTAATCTGCTCAAAGTACCATACTATTTATTAAGTAGCAGAGCTAGGATTTTATGACAGAAGGAATATAAAACAAGCACAGGAAACACATGGTTACTAATTATCTGGTCCCGTCTCCAAGTGCAAGACTTGGGAGAAGAGAGAGGACCTTGGGCTGCCTCAGGGAGAACAGGTTTCTTGGCAGAGAGGCTTGCACAGAGCTACCATGCTGCCCACCACTACCATGGACAGACCCCTCAGCTATCCAGGGTTCAGGTCTCTGCTGATCTCTGCTAACTGGAACACAGCCAAGAGCCACAAAAGCAGCAAGACAGACCTTGGGGAAGAGAAGAGAGGGCTCCCAAAGTATACTATAAACACTTTATTCACTTGTTTAGTGCTTACAGCAATCTTATGAGGCAGGTACTGTCATGATTACTGAATGAGGAGGAAACAGAAGCTCAGAGAAATTCAAAACCTGTCCCAGGTCCTGGAGCTCCTAAGGGAGGAGCCAGGATTCAGAGCAATGGAGGAGGGAGGCACCACAGCTCACACGTTTCACTCAGAGTTGCCCCCTCCTGGTCTAGATCCTGTTTACACGCCTTTCTACCAAGCCTAGTTACACAGTCTCTGAAGAGTCAATTAGACCTTAAATAAATTAGAGTGGTGGGGAAGAGGCTGCTTCAGGTCACACTCTGGTAGCAGCAAGAAAGTGACAACTGATACCTTGACAGGAAGGGAGGAAGCAGAAAAACTATAAAAAAGTTGACAGGGGAACTCAAAAAGACAAAGGTGTGGTCATTTGGGATAAAGAACACAGGAGCTTCCCTGCATTGCAGCCCAGGGGAATCACTGGTGTAAATCCTGTGTCCCTGAGTCATGGGACACCGTGAAGTCACGTTCCAGAGACACAGAATGGTACAGCCAACTATGGTGAAAAGGAACAACACTAGCTGATAACAGCAAGCAAATCCTTGACTAGGGAAGCTCAGCTGTCCAAAAAGAGTCGTTCTCCTGACATTCTAGTTAATTGAGGTCATAGAGTATTTTCATGTTAACTCCCACACTTATATACATTGGGTCCCTACTACGTGCCAGATACTGTGTCAGGGGCAATCTAGCGCCTTCAGGGAGCCGACAGCTAGTAAGGGATCTATAAAGTATAAGGCCAGACAAGAACAGAGAAAACTTAAGAGCAGGGAGGACGTGTAATGAGGCAGCCTCACCTGATCTGGGAGGGGTGGGGGCAACAGGACCATTTCCACGAGGAAGTAACATTTCAGCAGAGCCCAAAGGATGAAAAGAAATCAGAACAGATTCTTCTGGAATCTCTCCTCCTGTGGGAAAGCCTGCATCTGGCCCCGCTAACATCACCCTCCCAGGCTCCTGGTCTGCACATGTTCCCAGCACTATGTGCTGCTGTCACCTAGGAAGAGATGGTGGCAACATCCAAGGTTTCCCCTCCTCTGATGCCTGTACCCTCGCTGCTAGTCCCATGGGGACCACAGGTTGCCTCCTTGGTTGGTCCAACCTGTGCATCCCCCTGTCTCCTCTGTTTTTTTCCCCCTCACCAAGCCCTGGTGAGACCACAGGATATTTTCAAAAACTAGAGGGAAGGGAGTGTCTTGGCCATGATCTGGCCAATGTGGAAGCAGAGGAATGCCCCAAACAACCTTGTAAAGCTCTCCCCTGGTCCCGTGACCCAAGAGCTCAGACTTCTCAGCATAAAATGGGGGCTGCATGGTCTGGAAGCAGTGAAGCAGGCTTTGGAGTTTTATTAGACATTAAGATTGTTTTTTAAGGAACAGAAATATAAAGCAAGCCTCCAGCAGGCCCTCCCTCTAGGGAATCTGGTGTTAAATCGTTCCATCCATGAGCAAAGATGCTTCAGTGGCAGGAATCTGACTCCCCTTTCCCCTGGTCCCAGCACTGTTCGCAGTGGCCACATGGGGTAGGCGGTGTTGTGGCTGGTGATCAAACCCTGATGGGGCAGGGCTGCTGGGTGGTGAGAGTAGCCACCGTCTCATCATTGATAAGAACATCCCTTTCTCCCTGCCTTGGCGCCAGACTCTTGCCAATCGGCTGGTCCTTTGCCCTGGCAATGAGATGTCTCTATCTGTGGACATGAAGACCGGGAGCAGAAAGGCAGGGCAGGCCAGACCCCAGTGCAGAGTCAGGATTCCAGCCCAAGACCCTAGGCCTCTGCCCTGTGCTCTTGGGCACAGACACCTCCCACTTGTTATTTAATATGTGGAAATAAGGACCTGGAATAGGGCTCTGCTGGCCTCTGTTAGAAAAAGGCCCTCCTTGAATACACGCAGCCGTGCAGGTGCGAAGCTTAGCGAATGGAGTTTGGGCTAGATTTCAGCCCTACTTGCCCCCTTGGCTGGGAGCCCTGTGCAAGCTGCAACCTGTCCAACCATTCAGGACGTCCCTGCTGGCAGGCCCTCTGCTGGGCCTCAGTCCTCCTTCCCCATGTGGTGTAACCTCAGGATTCCAGGAGTTGCTCTAACTCCAAGGTGAACTTTCCCGAAGGTCAGCAGCTGAGGCTCTGGCCTCCCACATGCAGCAGCCTGCAGGGGCACACTGTGCCCCACTGCCTCTCCCTGCCACCTTTGATGTGCCTAATGCCTCCCTGGTGAGCTCATCCCAGCCCAGGTGGTTCCAATAGAAGGCATTAAGAGGGGGGGTTGATCCTCCGGAAGACAGCCCCCCCTTCTCTTGCCAGTCTGACCCTCTGATCGCCCCTCACCCAGGTGTCCCTCGGAGGTGCCAAGGAGACATGCCCCACAGGCCTGTACACCCACGGCGGGGAGTGCTGCAAAGCCTGCAACCTGGGCGAGGGTGTGGCCCAGCCTTGCGGAGCCAACCAGACCGTGTGTGAGCCCTGCCTGGACAGTAAGTATCCCGTGGCAGGCACTGTGAGGGCGGAGGATTAGGAGGGAGGAGAGGGGACCTGGGGAGGAGCATGCCCAATAGAGGCCTTATAAGTGCTCTGCCTCCTAGCAGGGTCCCCAGCCTGCCGCTGTATGGTCACCAGAATTGGGTCTGACCCAGTATAGGAAGCAGACAGGAGAAGCTGAGAGTGGAGGAGGGAAATGTGCGGAGGGAGGAGGGGGACCCGATGGGGGATTCCCAGGGGTGCCCCCTTCCCAGCTCCCAAGCAGAGAGGCCTGGTAGAAGAGGGTGGCCAGGTGGGGAGGAGTAGCTGATGCTAAGACCAGCTAAAAATATCTGCACTGCAAAATCAATGGCTGCCACTTACCCTCCTGTGTGTGGGGGAAGGGAGAGGAGGATCAAATCCTAGCTGCCCTGGAGACTGACCTTGGGGGAGCCTGGGAGGGTGTGGCCACCCCTCCCCCAAGGCCAACTCTTCTCCAGCTTTGGCCAGGAAGCAGAGCTTCCCCAAGCAGCAGGGATGGGGGTCAGAGCACTATAAGGACATCTTTACTGTGGGGTGATGTCTTTACTGTGGGGGATGAGAGGTGGGGGCAGGGAGGGGGGAGCTGTGGCCATTTCTTTCTGGAATCACCTTCAGGAGGGGAGAAAACGTCAGGGCTAGTGGAGGAGGGAGGCAGCGGGATGGGGGCTCTGGGCCCCTTGGCCCCAGTCTTGCCCAGGGTCTGAATTTTGTGCACTTTTGATTCAGGAGTCTATGCTAACACCCCAGGGCCCCACTCCTCGGTGGCTGCCTTCAGGGCCTGGGCTTAAGGCAGCATGGGCTCCGTGCCCTTTCCTGACTACTGCCAGTCAGATCCTGCCTTCTACCTGGCATTCAGTGCCCACTTGGAGGGCCGGTGGGAACCATACTCAGATTATTGTTTAATTCTGCTTGGAATAAGGTATAGGGCTGGGAACTCTGAACCTACCTGCTGACCTCGTCTTACCTCTAGAAGCTTCCCTCCCCAGTCTCCCTATCCTTCAGGCCACCCCAACTCCTTGGTGTTCCCTGGATACAGTCTTCCCATCTCTGTGCTTGTGGACCCAGTAATCCCATTCCCAGCAAAAGGATGCCCAGGCCTGGGTGGGAATGTCTGGCCACCTGCCCTGACCCTGGCCTAACAGGGTTTCCTTCCCAGGTCAGGGATGGCCAAACCATCTGCCATCCTGGAACCTCCAACGTCTGCCTGTCTCACTTCCTAGACTGAAGCCCAGGGCTCTCCTCCTTGGGCCTAAATCTCCTGGGATGGGAGCCCACTCCCCTCAGTCCAAGACTCTTCAGGAGGAGGTGGGGTGCAGTAGCCCAGGAGAAGGAAGTTCTGGAATCTCCGGGGAAGGGGAGGAGAGGCTCAGAGCTGGCTTTGAGAATCTTCCCTCCCACTTCTTCCCCTCCCTTCCCCTCCTTCCCCCTCTCCCCATCCCCAGCCTCCAGCTGTGTTAACAGGCTGCCTTTACAAGCCCACTTTATGGGATGGCAACCCCAGCGGACTTTCCCTCTATCCTCAAAACGTTTCCACAAGGAAACCTATTAAGCTCCTGCCTTCATTCTCTGCCAAAAACGACCACATTTTTCACACCACCTAAAACCCTCTCCCAGGAGTTTTCTGCTCATTTTCTTTGTTTTCCCAAGAACAGGGCTCTCCCCTTCCCCTCCAGTGTGACTCGACCCACCCCCCTGCCACATGCCAGCCAGATAGGACCCTCTTGTTCTTATAGATCGGACACCCTGCCTCAGCTGTTTCTGTTTGGAAGTCCTTTCTGCTGTCTGACCATATCCCTACCACCAAAGTTCACTGTACTTATCACCGCCCACCCCCATGGGGCCCAACCTTTATAGGATCCCCGCTACGTGCCAAGTGCTTTATGGCTGAATTTTATTTATCCCTCACCACAACTCTGTGAGTGGAGACATTATTCCTATTTTACAAAGGAAGAAACAGCTCAGAGAGGTTAAGTAGAATACCCACAGTCACACAGCGAATAAGCGATGGAAGCAGGTTTGATATCCAGGTCTGCCTGCTCCCTAGGAGGAGAAACACAGGGTCCCTCCATGGGAACTGACTGGAAACTGAAGTCTCCCTCCAGGTCCCTCTCCGTCTGTCTTATCTTCTCTCCCCAGCCCCTATTTCTATCCCTCTCACTTCTCTCTGGCTTTTCCCTCCTTGCCTCCCCTCTCCCCCGAGATAATGACCCTGTGCTCCATCCTGTCTCTTGATGCCTTTAGATAGTGTCCAGACCCCACAGCAGGGCTCGGTTTCCCTCTGACGGAACGCCAGTCTTTCCACTCCTACTCCCACATTCTGGACAATCCCGCCTTCCCCGGTTCTTAGGTTCCTAAATCCATGGTCTGCCCGCCCAGATCCGGCAGCACAGAGTCCCCACCCCGGGCTGGAGGGGGTGAAGACCATCGGGCTCTGCACCTTCCCCGCTCCCCACAAGGAGGCGAGGACCCTGACGTGTCCCTCATTCTGGAGTGCACGTCCATTACTTAGGAGCCCACGAGTCAAGTGTGAACTTGGACATCTCCCCTTTACGCCAGTTGAAAGGGCAGAGGACCGCACGTGCAGGTCCTACTTGCTTTCTAGCTTGAGTCGCTCCTGCTGTACGGTGCACTCTCTTGCCTGCAGTCCTGTCCCCGCCCTCAGGAGCCAACCTCCAGCAGCGTGGGGAAGCGCCATGGGTGGGAAATTCTGCTGTCTAACCCTCCTCATTCCCATGCGGGCCGCACCTGAACCTCCACCTGTGCAGAGAGGAACCGAAGGCGGCTGAGGCCGAGGCTTCCTAGGGAAGGCCTGCCTTGCCTGGGCTGGGTTCACAGCCCAGCTCTGGCCTGCGGGCAGGGTTGGGTGGGAACCAGGCTCAGATTATTCCTTAATCTTGTTGGGAACAAAGGTACGGGGCTGGGAACTCGCTGAGAGAATTTGCCAAGAAATTCACCGGTTACCCGTGAAGCCTCAGGGCCAGCGTTTCTGGGGCATGGAGGCTGGGGGTCCTGGCCTGTCTCCCACTTGGCGTCCGCTGCCACCAGCTTTCACAGGCTGGGGGTCAGGGTCCCTGGGAAGAGGGTGGGAAGTCAGTGAGGGGAAAGGCTGAACCAGGGGCGGCACCCTGGCAGGCAATGGGGAGGGAGGGATTCCACCTCCTGTCTCCGCAGTGCCCAAAGAGCAGGCGACTAAATTCCGTGTCCGTTGCTTCCCCGCCCATCCCTCTGCACTCAGGCGTGACGTTCTCCGACGTGGTGAGCGCCACCGAACCGTGCAAGCCGTGCACAGAGTGCGTGGGCCTGCAGAGCATGTCGGCGCCGTGCGTGGAGGCCGACGACGCCGTGTGTCGCTGCGCCTACGGCTACTACCAGGACGAGACGACGGGCCGCTGCGAGGCGTGCCGCGTGTGCGAGGCGGGCTCGGGCCTCGTGTTCTCGTGCCAGGACAGGCAGAACACCGTGTGCGAGGAGTGCCCCGACGGCACGTACTCCGACGAGGCCAACCACGTGGACCCGTGCCTGCCCTGCACGGTGTGCGAGGACACAGAGCGCCAGCTGCGCGAGTGCACGCGCTGGGCCGACGCCGAGTGCGAGGGTGAGCGCGGGGCGCCGGTTGCAGGACTGGAGCCCTGAGGAAGGGCGCCCCTGGGGGTCGACAAGGGCCTCGCCTGGCCTGCCAGGGTTAGCTCTGTGACCTTCAGCCAGCGGGCACCTTCCCTGAGGCTCAGTCCGTTCCTCGTAACCTGAGGGAGGTCATTCCCTATCCTATGTCACCAAAGGACCCCTTTCACTATTTCCTTCTTCTGGCTAAGCGTTTGGGAAGCTAGCATTATCATTGTCACAGGCCGCAGGGGGACAGCTGCAATGACAGTAGTCATTGCAGCTCACGTTCATCCATAGTTGCCAGCCAGCGATTGGATGCCAGAGCTCCAAGGTGGCCACGGTGGCTGGAGGACAGAGCAGGACGTATTTGATCCTGAGGCAGGCTTTCTGAACTGGAAAAGGGGCTTGCAGACCCTCCGGAGTTGGGGCCGTTTGGCTCTGAGGCCTGGTCTAGGTCCATGGGGGTTTGGGCTCTAGGACCTGAGATGGAATCCACCCTGTCACTATCTGAATGACATTAGAGTGGTCACCCTCGCACTCTGGATCTCAGTTTCCTCACTGGGCATGTGGTTACCAGGGTTGTTGTGGGTTAGGGGACATAGTGGGGCTGGCCACTTCAACTGTGGTATATGGGGAAGGGGTCAGCAGTCACTGTTGCAGTTTAGCGAAGGATGAGGTTGGGTGCAGGGAACAGCAAGGCCATGGGAGGAGCAGGCCTGGGGCCCTGAAGCCCGAGGCCAAGGCATGTGGGCTCCCAGGTAGGTAGGAACTGGCCCCAACGAGGCGGGGCAATTCCCCGGATGGGAGAAGGGAGTATCACCAGAGCGAGGGCAGAACCGTCTTGGCCTCTGGTTGGTGACGTCCAGCTCAGGGGAGATGAGTGGGCTTTTCCAGCAGAGGGAGGGGCTGTCAGTGCCTTTACATCCTGTCCATCCTGTGGCTGTGCGCCCATTGAGCTACTTCCCTTTGAGACCTAACCCTTAGGTTGCCCTTACTCTCAGCAGGCAACACAGCGCCTCCTGCAGGCAGCCCGCAGTTTGACAAGAGAGAGACAACCTTCCCCTCCATCTGATGAGGGAGACAGGGACTCAGCACTTAGTTCCCAGCTGCAGGGCAAGACAGCCCCAACTTTGGAAATCCCCCATTCTGATGGAGGCGGCAGAGCCTCTGCTTCAGTCAGCCCCCAGTCAGATGGGAGAGATAGATCCCCTGCCCCTGGGGACCCCCCAGTCTGACAGGGGCTCCGACAACCCATGCCTGCCTTTCAAGTGATCTCTGGCCCACGCAACTAGGGCAGAGAGGGCTGTTAAGCTAGGCTGAGGCCAGGTAAGTGTTTGAAGTTTCCTGCATTGGGGAGGGGGTAGAGGAGGAACGGGGCACAGGACAAGGTAGTTCTTGTGGCGATTGCCCTGGGCCAGCAGACAGGCAAATGGCATCAGGCGCCAGGCAGAGCAGGGAGGGAGTTTCAGCAGCCAGGCAGCAGGCAGGCGGGCAGCACGGTTCTGCGGGCAAGTCCAGACCAGCCAGTGGGGGGACTTAGTCAGGGGCGCGGTTAGAGCAAAGAAAGATGGCGGCTGGGGGAGGGCTGGCTGTGCCTTTTGGGGCGTTCACAGAGTTCTCCCAGATACTACCCCACTTTCCCAGCCACCCTGAAGGAGGAGGGGGCGTGTTTATCCCTGTCCCTGTTCCCCTTTCAGACCCAGCCTCTGAAGGGTTAATTGTCAGCTCCAGGACAGTGGGACCATTTCAGGCAATGGAATTTGATTCTTGGTTTGGTTGCCCCCCTCCCCTCCAGTGGACCATGCTTTGCTGCATATACATTTCAGGTGTCAACATGGTGACTCACCCACCCTCGGGGCAGAAGGGCCCCCCCTTGCCCTGGTGAAATTCGGGCTTAGGAGGAGTAACCAGGTCCTTCCTTCCACCCCCAAGTCTGACAGCTCCCATTCCGGAAATGGCTGTCAGGACCTGCCAAGGGCTTAGCGGGTTGGAATGCTAGTGGACATGGCCACATCTGGATCTCATCCCCACCCCCCACCCCCGTCAGAGGAGATTGGAGAGGGAGGGAAGCGCCCTGGACAGTCGGCACTGTCTCCAGTCTGGCCTGTCCGTCGCTGCTCCCCACCGGGCTCTCATCTGTGTGATGGGCTGATTCACCACACCCCCGCCGCTTTGGCACACCTTCAGCCTCCAGGTTGGGATTGCTCTGAGCTGAGCTGTCTTCAACCTCGGGGCTGGAGCTGTCCCCCCACTCGCCCAGTCCTGCAGCAGGGCAAGAGAAGACCCTTCCTGGTACCGGGATCCGTCTAAGGCTGCCAGGAGACAGGGCTGTGTCTCCTCCACTCCCCATCCCACTCCCTCCATCCCCTCTCAGGACTAAGCCAGCACCAGGGCAGGAGGGGGAGGCAGAGGGAAGCCCCCTCACCACTGCCAGCCTGATGGATTCCAGATTCACATGTGGGGGCCTCACCCCTCAGAAGGTGCTGAAAACAGGGGCCTTTGAAGCATCTCGTCTTGAGTTGAGAAGGCCCAGAAGACCAGTGGGCAGCTTCAACTCCTACTTGGGTGGGCAGACTGGGGAGCAAGGTGCCCTCCCCTTCACCCCATTGGCATGTCCCATCTGCTTTCCCTCCCTGCCCCAGGCGTGGGAAGTGAGGATGGATGGGGTAGGCAACTTTGTCCAGACAAGTACCCCCAGGCCATCCAGAGCCCACAACCCCTCGCACTGCCCCGATGTGTGGCAGAGTGGAAAATCCCACCCACTGATGCCAGGAAGTGCTGGGTGCCCTGCCAGGGATGCTGGCAGTGCCCAGCTGGCATGAGAGGGCCTAGGTGGGTGGCAGAGCACAGTTTCCCTCCCCTGAGGCAGTACCTGCCTTGTCGGCCCCTCTCCACCGGCACTTTGCTTCCTGCCCAAGGAGGGCTTGGGCTACCTGACACTGTCTTCTCTGGGTGGTAGGATGAGGCTGTGTGGGGGCGAGCAGGGCAGGAAGCAAAGGCTGGCCACTGTCCAAGGACCGCCGCCCCCCAACCAGCCCAAGCCTAGAGCCTGGGATATTAGAGACAGGACAGGGGGCTCTCGGGGAGGTGGTGCGGGAGAAGCTCCTCTCTGACCACACATGGGTACCCCCATTTTTCCTTATGACAGGAGTGACTGGGGTCATCTGAGACAACCAGGGGCCAGAGACATATTTCCGCAGAGTGGTTCTGGCTTGAGGCTTCCCCATGGCTCGGTCTTGTGTGTTTGCCCCCATCCAGGGTTCTGGTACCAAGAGGAAGCAGAATAGAATTTTAGGACCACAGCCCAAGATGGAAGGGAGCTTAGAGACCATCTCTTTTAATATCCCCATTCTATAGATGGGGAAACTGAGGTCCTGTGAGAAAAAGGGGCTGGCTCAGACTCACACAGCAAGTCAGAGACAGAGCTGCAGCAGACCCGGGTCTCTGGACTCTCTGCTCTTGCTGTGTAGCATCATGACGTCATGCACACAGCCCCAGCCCCCACCCCGTGCATAACAGCCGGGCACAGGAGCACCCGGAGCCAGGAGTGGGGGCTCAGGAAGAAGCGTGGAGTGGATCAGGACATAAGGGGAGGGTCCTTTGGGGACTGGGCCCTCACTCCTGTGGCCCTTTCTCCCAGAGATCCCTGGCCGTTGGATTACACGGTCCACACCCCCAGAGGGCTCGGAAAGCACAGCCCCCGGCACCCAGGAGCCCGAGGCACCTCCAGAACAAGACCTCATAGCCAGCACAGTGGCAGATGTGGTGACCACAGTGATGGGCAGCTCCCAGCCCGTGGTGACCCGAGGCACCGCCGACAACCTCATCCCTGTCTATTGTTCCATCCTGGCTGCCGTGGTTGTGGGCCTCGTGGCCTACATCGCCTTCAAGAGGTGAGCAGGGGCATGGTGGGGACACAGAGTGGGGACGTTTGTCCCCAAGGAGGGCTTTGCTCTGACCTTGACCTGAAAACACACACCCCCTTTTAACTCAACCCCAAACCGAGCTCATCCTCACTCACCATCCCCTGTGCCACTCCAGGGCAGGGCAGGGCAGCGGGAGGGGAGGGGAGAGGATGGGCCCCGCCCTGCGGTGGCCTGGCTCCAGCCCTCCCCACCCCCTTGCTGCTTCCCGCCCTGATTCCCCTCACCCCTGCCTGCTTGTGCCCTCAGCCCCCCAGCCCCATTCGCCCCACGGTCACCGTGTGCGCGTGTGTCCCTTCGCCTTCCCTCATCGCACTCGGGACCCCTCACCCAGGAATCCGGAATGTGCAACAACTCCTGGAAAGCATTTTACAGTTTTAAACACATTTTCCATTTTTCTTTTAAAAAAAATCATCAAAGTAATACATGCTTGTTTAGGAAAATGCAAACAAGACCAATATCTTTCAAAGCAAAAAGTAAAAGCCCCCTTTTATCTCCCCAAATCCTGCTCCTCCCCTCATGGGAATCTGTTTGCAATGGATCCTTCCCAATTATTTTCTGTATTTTATATAAACACGTATATAAAACTTTTATAATTATATGTAAACATGCAGGATTTTTTAAGACATCCATGGGATCATACTGTGTATACTCTGTAACTTACTGTTTCACTTAATCTCCGGCAGGAGAGCTTTCCTCAGGACATACACGTTATCTGATCATTTGTAACCACTCATTCAATAATATGGATGGATTGTAATTTATTTAGCCAGTCCCCTATTGATGGACATTTGGTTTGTTGTCAGTTTTTTGTTATTGCTTATAATTGCAGAGGAAATTCTTTTCTATATCACTGCCCACGTGTGGGAGTATTTTAGAAGAGGAGATGGGGAAAAGTGGAATTTCCAGGCATTTATTTATGCCGCTCTACCCTCATGGAGCTTTCGTTGTAGGCCAGGGTGGTGGGGGCAGGTATGTAAAGGAAAAAGAACCTTAGGTAGGTATGATTGGGGGGGTGGACAGTTGGGCACCTACTGTGCCCTGGCCCCTGCATGTCAGAGCACAGAAACCTCAGCCCATCGGCCGCTGCAGCCCCTCACCCTGACACCAGCCTGTCCTCTGGCTCCAGGTGGAACAGCTGCAAGCAGAACAAGCAAGGGGCCAACAGCCGGCCCGTGAACCAGACACCCCCACCGGAGGGAGAAAAGCTCCATAGCGACAGTGGCATCTCTGTGGACAGCCAGAGCCTGCACGACCAGCAGCCACACACTCAGACAGCCTCGGGCCAAGGTGAGCAGTGGGGCAGGCAGGGGAGCTCAGGCGGGGGGGACAGGAGTGATTAAGATTAGACCCCAGGAAGGACTGTCAGGGGGGTGGGCTGAACAGGGCCTCTGTAGAAGGATGGGAGAGGCTGGCTGGGGGGGATGGGTAGGAGAGGTTCTTTCTAGTGGGAGGACCTGGGAAACAGAGGCTTTTATGAGTTGGAGCATCCAGACTCATCAAGCTAATTGTCCCCCCTGGGGGCTAATTACTTTCCAAAGTAGCTGCAATTAGCCTCCTGCCCTGGACTTCTGGGGAACAAGTAGTTAAGCGTGTACCCTAATTAGTGGCCCACAGCCCGGCACCAGGACACTTGCTGCAGTTGTCTGGAACTGGGAAGTCTGGTCTCCTCCTCCGCCTTGATTAATGGCTCAGGGAAGGGGAGGAGGGTTAGGTGGTGTGGATCTTGCTGGAGCCACCACTGAGGAAGGGACAGTGAGTCAGCATCCCCCAGGCCCCTCCACTGCCCGTGCCGTGTCCAGGACCTCATCTTGGCCATCCCTCTGCCTCTAGGCCCCCAGAGAGGGAGGAGAGATGCCCTGGCCCTTTGCAGGTCTTCCCCCAGGCCCTTGTGCCCCCTGTGGGGGAAGGGGGATGCGGGGATGGGACCTGATGCCCCTCTGGGTTCTCAGCAGCCCTCAAGGGTGACGGAGGCCTCTACAGCAGCCTGCCCCCAGCCAAGCGGGAGGAGGTGGAGAAGCTGCTCAACGGCTCTGCGGGGGACACCTGGCGGCACCTGGCCGGCGAGCTGGGCTACCAGCCTGAGCACATAGACTCCTTCACCCACGAGGCCTGCCCTGCCCGCGCCCTGCTCGCCAGCTGGGCCACCCAGGACAGCGCCACGCTCGACGCCCTCCTGGCCGCCCTGCGTCGCATCCAGCGTGCTGACATCGTCGAGAGCCTGTGCAGCGAGTCCACGGCCACGTCCCCGGTGTGAGCCCACCTGGGGAGCCCCCGCCCCACCCCAACATTCCGACAACTGATGCTCCAACCAAGCCCCGTGGAGCCTGTCCCCCCTGGGGTGGGCCAGCCCGTCAGGGCTGAACTCCTCTCCTCTGGGCAGGGCCTCGGAGTCCAGGCCCCCAAACCGCAGCCCTGTCGCTGCACCCCAAGTGGCCCTTCACTTCTGATCACACTCCCTGCCCGGTGAGAGAAGTCCCCCTGCCGCCTGCCCCACCCTGCCTGCCCCTTCACCATCTCAGGCCACTGTCCCCTTCCTCCCGCACTGCCAAGTGGGCCAGCCTAGCGGGTGTTGTAGCTGGGAGGGGGCTGACACCAGGGATGGTGTTGGGGGCAGTGACAAGACCCTAGAGACTCAGAGGGTGGTACTGAGGAACCAGAGCCATGGACTCTACACTGTGAACCTGGGGAACGAGGGAGCATCGCAGTGGCCTAAACCCTCCCTCGCCCCCCTTACCCCTCCCCTCTGGCCTCAGGTGAAGAGGAGCAGAGGACTGCCAGAAACCCAGCCCACCCCCTCATTTCACATTCAGGACGGTGAGGCCCAGAGAGAGGCAGTGACTTGCCCAAAGTCACACAGCAATGGGGAGGCCAAGTGTAGGCTGGCACCCTCCTCTCTAAATGAGGAGCCTCAGGTTTGCTTGAGGGGAGGGAGAGAGGGAGAAGGTGGCCTTCTGAGTAGTGTCCTGAAGCTGTCACTCCCCCTTCCGCCATCTCCAGGCCCTGTCCCCGCTCTGCGGAGATGGGATGCTTGCCCAAGGCCTGGTCCATCGGTCATCGTGGCCGAGTCAGCTTTGGGTTCTGTGGAAAGGGGAGCTGCTTCCCTCTGCCTGTCCCCCTCAGGCATGTCAGTGTGGCATCTGTGGTGTGGCCTCAGTTGGCTGCCCTCTGTCCTGGCACAGGCTCGGAGTCAACACTGGCCCCTAGAATCAGCCCTAGGGGTCGGGGACTAAAGACCTCTCACCCTGCAACACACACACACCCCGGATGGAAATCTCGCTTTTCTCCATGAGCTCCCGGGGCAGCTGCCAGAGAAGCATCGGAGGGAATTGAACTCTGCTGGGCTATCCTCCCTCGCCCCTGGCTTTGGCGGGCCAAGGACGGCTGAGGCTTGAGTTGGCGTCTGTCTTCAAGGGCTTGCACGTGGAGGAATGCGGAATGCGCCCCCATCCTCCCCTTCCCTGCAAGCAGGGGTTTGGCTGGACCCAGAAGGTTGTGATGAAGAAAAGTGAAAAGTGGGCCAGTGTGGGAACGCAGCAAGAAGGAACTGAGTTAGACTGTGGCCCCGGGGGGTTCCTCCCAAGCTTAGATGGCCCCGTGAAAAAGGACTGTTTTTTCCTTAGCTTGGCCAGAAAGGGGCCCTGAGGTCTCAGTGGCCTTTCCACGCCCTCCCTGGTCTGTTCTGTTTTGCTTGATGTTGGAATGAGTGTGGCTCTCCCTCTATTTAGCATGAACGAGCCCCAGGCAGGCTGTGCGCTGACAGCCACCCCCTCCCCACCCAGGGTCGTCCGGACCCTGTGGAAGGGACTCGGAGCATTGTATGTAGATGGCATTTCTTGGACCTCAGTCTGTGATGAGAGGAGGACGCTCACATGCTGGCCCCTCACCTGTGCACCTGGCAAGTGGGATGGAGTCCGAGTGTATTTATTTTCCTCCCCAGCAGTACGGGAGGGGTTGGGGGGTTGCGAGTACGTTTTAGCATGTATTTGGCTCTGGGGACCCTCCTGCCTCCCCTTGGGCTGAGATGGAACACTTTTGGCCCCCCAGCTGGGAGCTGCAAGCTCGGACCCCCTATAACCTCCCCTGTCACCTCTCCCTTGCATCCTGTGTAATCATTTCTTGGGCCCTCCTGAAACCTACACATAAAACATAAGTGATGAACATTAAATAGCAAAGAAAGAAAAACGGTGCAAAGAGATTTTCTGGAAATACACGTGGGTTAAGTCGGCTGGGGCTGGGTATGTGGCAGGGACCCAGGTATGTGGCACTGACCCAACTCAGTGACTATTTGTGCTATTTTTCCCTCCACCAAATGGGGAATTTGTAACAGAAATCCACCAAATTCGCTTGTGTAGCTGAGGAGTTAATTTAAGTGGAGTAGGGAAGGCGTGGGGGCCCTTTGCCCCCAGGTCTTGGACAGGGAAAGTGAAAATGACCATGCAGGAAGCTGGCCAGCTGTGAACTTGACCAGATGTCAGAAGTGAAACTGACCGCAGGGGAGCCAGAGGCTTGCTAGGAGGGCCAGGTCACAACCCCGCAGCTTCCAGCCACCCACATGGCCTGGGAGACAACACACACACACACACACACACACACACACACACACACACACACACAGACACACACACACAAGCACATGCACAGGAGCTGGCTCCAGATGGCCTGGCGGGAGGCTGGCTGGCCCGGCCTGGCGTTAGGCGGGCAGGCTCCTCCCTCGAGGCTCGCGGGGTAGGTCCTAAGCCTGGCTTCTGCCAGCCTGGCTTTGAGCCCCGCCTGGCCCAGGCCTGGGAGCTCCCAGAGCTGCAGGTTCCCGGCCTCAGGCCTGTGCCCTCTCCAAGTCTGGCCAGGTAGGTGGTCAGAGCTTCTCAGCTCCTGCTGGTGGCTTGGCCAGGTCCTTTGGTGGGACTGGCCTGTGGTCATTGGGGGAGGCCAGGGAGGCTTGTGCTTCCAGTAAGAACAGCAAACAAGCCTTCCTGACCTCTGGATCCAGGGAGAGAGGCCAGCCCAGCCCTGGCCAAGGGTTAGACATGCGGTCGGGGTGGGGGGAGGGTGTGCTCTTCGTCTTCCTCTCTCCCTTCACTCCCAGACTGTAAGAGTTGTGAGGAAGATGGTGGGTGTAGGGGGAGGGATTCGGTGTAGGGAAGAGAAATAATCCCGGTACTCGGAAAACCTCCAGCGTGCTGGGGAAGACAGTCTCTTTCTTGGGGGCGCCTCCCGGCTGATGGAGGAGATAGTCCCAGACGTGAGGATACTTCCAGCCTGATGAGGGAGGCACGGCTCCTTCCTAAGGGGGCCTCGTCCTGACGGGGGAATATACTCTTTCTTTGCCAGCCTCTCAGCTGGTGCGCGCTGCCATAACAGGGGTCCCAGCAGAGACCCACCCCCCCCCAGGGGTTGGGGACAGATTGTCAGAGAAGGGCTGTGCAAACTGAGCCCTTCAGGATGAGCAGTTGACAAGCTGGGGAAGGAGCGTGCCTCTGGCAGAGGAATCAGCCCAGCACAGGCCCTGGAGGGAGAGAGCACGGAGCACCCAGGGCCTGGGGAGGCTCTGGGGCCTGGAGCCCCGAGAGTGAACGGGGAGCAGGTCGGTGGGGCCCAGGGGAAGGGCTTGGGAAGAAACATGCTGAGGGGCCTGGACTACATTCTTGGAACGCTGGGGAGCCATGTGGGGGCTTAAGCAGTGGGTTTCCATGGACAGATTTGCATTTCAGAAAGCACTAGCTCTGGCTGCAGAGTGGAGGGGGTGGGGCAGGACAGGCAGCGGGTGGGAGTCAGTGTTGGCCTGAAGTCAAGGAGGGAGCATAGGGGTGGTGAGAAGAGGGGTTTTAGAGAGATCCTTGGAGCCAGTGGGATGCTGTGGGGGTGGGAAAGTGGCTGACATGGGCCCAGGGCTCCTTGGTAGGGGGATGCCCTTAAGAGATCCCCTCTGTATCCCTGCCACTCACCACACTGTTGAGAAACCCTCTTTGCCCTCCTTCCATCCCTCCTCTGATTTTTTCTCAACAGCTAAAATGCTTTGTTGACTTCCCATGCTCAATGTGGCCTCAGAGGGCTACATGAGGCCCCTGCCAGCTCCCCCAACTCTCTGCCTTGCTCCAGCCTTCCTCCTCATCACTCTCTGTGCCCTCCCAATATCAACCTCCTTAGAATTCTTCGAGCATTGTTGTTCCCTCTAGCCACAGGGCCTTTGCACATGCTGTCCCTTCTGTCTGGAACACTCTCTCCCCTTCTTTCCCAGGGGGAAGGGGTGCTTCCTTGGGGAAGGGTTCAATGAACTCTGGGCCCAAACCAGTTTGAGAGGACACCATGTTCACTCCCTTTCTTTAGGCCACTTAATCTCTCTTTGTAATTAGGCCCCTGTCTGAGTGATTATTCGATTACTGTAAACTCCAGGAAACCAGAGACAGGGTCTGGTTTTGCTCACCTTCTAATCCTTAGCACCTTGCCTGGCATGTAGTTGGCACTCAATAAAATTACATTGAATAAATGCATGAGTGTGGTCTGAGGCAACTCTGTCCAACAAAAATATAATGCAAGTGACATATATGTAATTTAAAAATTTTAGTACTCACATTACACAAGTAAAAAGAAATAGGTGAATTTCATAATATATTTGATTTAGCCCAATAAAGCCAAACTATTATTTCAACATATAATCAATATTTAAAAATATTAATAAAATATCTTATATTTTCCATCCCAAGTTGTCCAAATCCAGTGTGTATTTTAGTCCTACAGCACATCTCACTTTGGACTAGCACCGTTTCAAGTGCTCAATAACCCCGTGGAGCTGGTGGCCATGACCCTGGGTAGCTCAGCTCTGGAGCTTCGCACCTCGCAGGGTGGGACTCATTCTGTGCCCTCGGTGGGCTCAGAGGACAGATGGAGACTCCCTTGCTTCCTCCTGTGTCACCCAACAGTCTCCAGGCCTGAGGTCTGTAGCTGTTCCTCCTCCTCCCGGTGGCTCAGGCCCGGGGCCTCTCTGTCTCTCTCCTTCTCTAGGCTGGAGGAAGAGACCCTTCATCTTTGCCGGCCCATCGGGGCCCCGTCTCTTCCCCTAGCCTCTCTCTCCTCTTTCATCCAGGGCAGTGAAGCTGAGACAAGACTTACAGCAATGTGCAAGAACTCTTCGTCCCGTGGGGAGGGGCGTGGGGGAGCCGCGGAGCCTGCAGCCCAGTGCTCTAGGGAAGAAGGGACAGGACCCACGCCGGGGTCAAGAGAAGACATTTCCCATCATGCTCTGGGCTGGGGGTCTGCTGACCATATGCCTGGGGGAGGCGGCGTCTCTGATAATGCAAAGCAGATTCCTCCCCAGCTTTGTGGCAGCTGGTGGGCAGAAGGCCAGGGGACAAGGCTGAGCCTGCAGGCATCTGAATACAGAAGAGCTGAGGCGAAGAGGGCTCCTTTGGTCTCCTGCCCTGCCCCATGCTCCTCCCAACACCCCTGCCCTCATGCTGACCCTTCCCAGCTACACCAGGCCCCCAGGCAATCCTCCTGCCCTGAGCCACGCCAGGCTCCAGATCGCCATCCAGCCCCATCGAAGTGGGGCTGGGCATTCTCAGCACACACCCTCAGGGGCTCCGGTGCAGGGGGACCCCCATTCAGACCCTGAGCAGCTCTCATCATCCTCCCAGGTGCGACTGGAAGCCAGGGTTTTCCACCATGATCCCCACTTCCCATGATGCCCTGCTGGGGCATCCACCTATTCCAGCCCCCAACCAACCCAGAGGTGAGGCCAGGAACATTTCCCAAAGGCTCCATCATGGAAGAACATTCAGGAACATTCCAACTCTCACCCCGCATCCCTCCCAGGGCACTCAGTCCTGCCCTCTTCCCACAGCATCCGGGAACTTCCCCATCCCTGTGGTCCCTTCCCGGCAATCCCTGCTCCGGCTGTTTCCAGCTGCATTCCCAAAGGGCTCCTGGGAGAGGTGGGTTTGGGTCTCCTCCCTGGGCTAAGACTGCTGCCTTTGGAAAAGTCCAGGAATGTTCCCATCCCCCTCCCATATTCTAGTGACTCAGGGATTTGGGGGTTCTTCTGAGCCATCCAGCGGGAGGCTGAAGACCACCCCGAGAAGCCCTTGGGCCGGGGCTCTGCATCCACATTCTGGAGCCCCAGCCCTCGCCCAGGGCCTGAGATTCCATCAGGAGTCCAGATGGTTCTCATCGTACCCCTGTGGACCTTGGGGTGCCAGTGCTAAGCACAGGATGTGTGGGAATGGGCATAGGACAGCCAGTCTTCCCTCACTCAATGTTAGAGCCAAGGGAGGCCACACTGTGACCTCCTAGAAGATGACGCCAAGAGCCCATAAGCCAGCCACCTAGGCGCTCGCCGCCCCACGCCCTGAACATCAGTTAGGATTCTTTGTGTTGCAAGAGGGAGAAAACCCAACCCAGGGCGGTCTGAGGGAAGGTATGTCCCTCAGAAGTGAAAACGGGTAGGGCTGGCTCTAGGCACAGCTTGACTCAGAGGCTCAGACAACATCCGCAGAACCCAGTTTCTCTCTTTCCACCTCTTGCTTCCATTTCTTCAGACAGGCTCTTTCCTTGTGGCGGCAAAAGGGCTGCACAGCTTCAAATTCAAGGTCATGGGGAAGAGAGCACCTCCGTCCTAGTAATCCCAGCAAAAGTCTCCAGGTGTCCTTGGACTGGCCCATACCTGTGGCTTGGGAATGCCATCACAAGCTGGCTACGGTGGAGGTCACATGCTCTGTCCCCAGGGCAGGGATATCGTCCTACCCGAACCATGGGGGGTAAGAGTGGGGGAAATTGAGGTACAGTCCCCAAAAGCAGGCCCCTCAAAAACAACGAATGTAGCCTCCATCCTAGATCAACACCTGAGCTTCTTCCTTTGCACCAGGCAACTGAGTGAGACTCCAGCCCCAGACCAGAGTGTGCATTTCTAGTAAGAATCATGATGAAGCCACGTGGATGTTGTGGCGGAAGAGGATCCCAAAGAGGGAGAAAGTTTCCATGGCTGCAGGAACGTGGGATGGCCCTGCAGGGGAGGCACTTATATCGAGCCTGGAAGGACGGACAGGCTTGGGCAGTGGGGAAAGGGCTGGGAGAGTATTTCCAGCAGAGGAAACAGCTGGAGCGAAGGCACAGAATGGGGGCAGGGAGGGGTTAACGTTGACCGGCATAAATAAAGATGGGCACGAGTGAGAAACGGGGCCGGACCTAGCAGGGGCTCGAA